TAAACGAGATGTAACCGCGACAAAATACCACGGTTTACATTCATGATTTAGATGAGTTAGTCTCGTGAAATATCTATGTACGTATAGGTTAAGAAAGAACCGTCGTCTCAATTCGTTTCTCATTACAAGCTGTAGAAACTTAATCATTAATCGAGGAACGTTACTTGTCACTAATAAACGTGTGCCAGTCAATAGCGATTTATCCCTGCATTAACCACGATCGAGTCTTGGAAACCGATAACGCACAAATAATGACACGCACGGAGCGACTCTCGCCACTGCTCGCCGGCTCGACGTTCGGCGAGCGAGTGAGAGCGACCTTCGCGTGCCTTCGAGTACACGATGGCACGCAAAAACATCATACGTCACCGCGCCGAGAGAAAAACAAACTTTTGACAAACGAACGTTGAGAATTTGTTGGCCCGCCTACGACATTGAAAATTCCGTACTTAATATTTTACATTACTTCGTTCTGTGACTGTTACTACGTTTTGTGTATTATTCTGCGGACTTATTGGTGTTGATTAAATTAACGATTAATTCTGTTCACTCGAGAAAATGTATCGGAACAAAAATCGTCGTTACTTAAATTCTAATTACTAAGATTAGAGATTTTACCTTAATAATTGGTGTATACAAGCGTATATTTCTAAACTGTAAATCTTCATTTACTATGAATCTAAAAGAGAAGTGAAGCACACCGCGCTTCGAGAAAACCAATCTGCATCGCGGAAAAGAGGCTTCAACTGTTCGATATTAATGACACTCGCGCTATGAACATCTCTTTGTTAGAAAGGGATTTGCATTATTACGTATATATATACATATATATGTAAATATGTATTAACTCATTATATACATACATTGTATATAATGTCTGAATAAAGTGTTATTCAGATTGATTTTTAACATAATATTTATACAACAATGTATGTAGTCGTAATGTCAAAGACTTATTACAAATCTTTCAGGAAAAATATATTTAAAAGTTTGAGATAATTTAGAATTCTACAGAATATCCCAAATAAAGTATGTTGTGTGGATTACGTTCAAAAATAATTTTTAACATTTAATAAAATTTAATAAAACATGTTATGTAAAATATATGTATAAATATATTACACATTGCAAGAAGGAAGTGTCAGAGGCAAAGGATCCGATCATCGGGTTAAGGAGGATGGTTGCTGAAATGGAGATGATAAAAATAGATTCAAATTTATAGAAAATATTCGTCTATGGGAATCTGTCCTCCATGCAAAAGTTTAAGACGATTGTTTGCATGGTTGTCGAATAATTATTAAAGTTATACTATTGCACATGGCCAACATAGCAAAGTATTACGATATCTGTAATTTAATTCTCGAAAGCATGTTAAAAATATATAAGATAAAAATTTTATAAAAATAAGTGCAAATAATTCTATACATATTTATTTATGGGAATGTTTCTTAGCATAGTTGAATTACAGTTGAATGATGTTATTTTTTTAAGTTTTGAATTCCGCCATCTTAAATCCACCATTTTGAATTATGAAAATCTGATAACACGGATTCGTGGTCAGCGACCCCAAAAACCCTTGTATACAAAGTTTCACAAAAAATGGTTCAATAGAAAAATGTATAATGCTTCAAAGGGTTAATTTGGTTCCCGGGCTCCTCCGGGAACATGCGTTTAATACATGCGGGACACTGCCGTACTGAACCAAAAACCTTATCTCGCCGGAGGACGAGATTTTCGTTCGGATTAAGCGTGAGTTACGCGCGGATAAGGGATGTTTTTCCCTTGCGAAGGAGAAACATCTCTCTCCCCTCCTTCAATATTAGAATGCGGGCGCCCAAGTCTCGGATCTCACGGCAAGTTTTAGGGTTTACGGAAGAGCGATGCGAAACACATTGCGCCGTGTATATCGGTAAATAGGCGTTCGCCCGTTACACACTCGGTGCCCCCGTGTCGTGTCCTCGTGCTTCTGGATTATTTACGAGGCGGATGAGACCTGACTCTCGTAACATTCTGCAGACTCGGATTGCGAGGAACCTTCCATTATTCAACAGGATGGCCTGTTTCAAATACTCTTCCGTTGACAGATTACTTAATTCACACCTTTCGAAGAACATTCGTCAGCGGGACGTGCCGTAGGAAATTCCTTCTGGCTCCGCGGACTTGTGTTTCAAAGCGTAATCGTCTTTCGGATATCATTTCTTCAGCGTTGGTCCAGCGAGTTACTGGCGAAAGAAATCAGAAGGCTGAGAAAAGGGATTAACAAGATTGTGGTTGTACTTTGTTAATACTTTTTATTAATCGACGAAGTTTAATTGTTAATGCACGGCAGGATATCCATTGTGATCGCGTCAAGCTGTTAGTAATTCAATACCAATAATCTGCGCTTAATAAAGGGTATTGTTTTCACAAAATTGTCCATTTGACTTGCTACAGTAGTAATGCGAGTAATTGCACAATTTTTATTTGCTTCAATAAGCGACTAAATAACTTACACTCTATTAATAATGTCGCGAATATATTCTGGCGTTACATACCTTTCATTACGCTTGTACGGCCAGTCAATTGGGATCTCGTGCCGCTTTTCCAATTTTCCACGAGGTGAGTGCAGCCGACAGCGACGTAACGTAATTATTATACAAAAGCGATACGCTATTGGGAGTAAAATAAAATTGATGTTTCCACTGTATTGAATTTTACAGATTTAGCGAGTCGCTCAGTCGTTCGTTTCCTTATTTGACACGCTTATTAGTGCAGTATCTTTTAACGCGAAGTAATTGCATTTCTCGTCCCCCCGAACTAATTATACAGTTTTTACTAGTAGAATTTTCTGATCGCGATGAGAAATAAGCGGATCGTCGTTCGAATGTTGTGCCTCCATCTTTTATTGTTTCCAGACATCCTTTCCGCTCTTTTCCGGACTCGCCAGTAGTAACAGTCGCCAGTAGTCGCGGTCGAACAAAGGTAGTAGTTACCCACGTTCGGTCAGACAGTTGTCCAACTCGCCAGTCTCCGCTAAAGCAAAGGCGTGATATATATATTTTTTAATAGCATTATTTTCGCATAGTACGTTTCGTGCTTAAATTATAAGATGCGCATCTTTTCACGCGAAACTTATGAATCCTTCTGCGCAACAATTTCTTCTTCCATCGTTCTTCCCCTCATCTTGTTTTAGTTCTCGTCTGATAGTAAGCCGTTGAATTTTTTACATTAAGAGCACGATTGGAGAGAATTTAAACGAAAAAATAGGCAAAAGCAAAATATGCTAATATTTAACTCAATACGTCACGTGCTACAACGACTTGACATGCAATATTGCACTCGACTCGCTAAGTGTTATACGTTTAAAATAAAACTGGACTGCCACGTTTCTTAAAATAAGTGTACTAACGAGCTGCACATGTATTCGTGACAAGCGTCATTCCACGCGGGGCCACCGCTGACGTAAGTGTACCGCCCTTGTGTGTAAAAATTCATTCAAATCCTGAAAGGGGGCCAACGTTTTTCTTCTTCAGTCAAACGATACATTGATGTCTCGGGATTGGAGAACGTAGAATTGCGTCTGAACAATGTGCTCCGATTCTGCGACGTGCTGCGCGAAGTACTTGGATCCGCGACGCGGAACAAAGTACGTCGTAAAACGTATAGGAGCGGCGTCTCGCGGCGCCCTAAAGACCGAATCAGACTAGCAATTGTTGACTCGGATTGAATTGGAATTGGCGACTGACGACTGTCCCTTAGCCAACGAGAGCGAGGCAGCCAGCGATTTAATCGGAGCCAGAAGAGAATCGTCAGTCGCCAATCCCAATCCAGTCCGAGCCATTGCTGGTCTGACTCGGCCTTAAGATCGGGCGATACGTCTGACGAAGTTTCCGCCACCCCATCGGCCGCGTTCTCCCGTCCTCGCTACTCTTTCGCGTGTCAAGGCTCACATCCCGACCACCCCCTTGTTCGTCATTTCTCGATCTTCTCCTTCCACCCCAGGCGCGCTTCGCTCATCTCGATGCACCACCGCGCAGCATCGGGGGTAGTGCGTATCCACGTTTTAGCGACCGACTTTAACCACCGGAGTTGGCGCAGGCGTTATGCTGTCGTCGCCGGGCGAGAGAGAACGGGGTGCGCTCGGGGATACGGCGAAATCCTAGCAAATCAATACGGCAATGTCCGCCGGTAACCAGGCAGTCGGGGCTCATCCTTCGCGAGAAACGTGTCGGAAGTCCACGCGCACGCTCAGTTACGTCGGCAGTACTGATTAGAACAGTCCATTGAATCTTCGTTGTCTTCGTCTTCGTCATCGTCGCTTTCGGTGCGAGCGCATCGATTCCCTGGTACCGCCAGTTCCTCCCCGTCGAATCAGCTTCACAAGGTGAAGTGCGCCAGTCGGAGACGGTAGAGCATCGTCGTACTTGAAGAAACGATCGCCAACAGGGCCCACTTGGGTAACTGACCTTGTGCAACAGCGCGAACGTTTCGCTTTCGAGCAAAGGGGCCGTTCGAACGATTTCCCGAGAATCTTACGGATCGAGACTCCTCGCGGCAGCTTATCCGTTTACGATCAGAGGGATACGCACAGCTTGGAGCGCACGGGTCGTTTCGGGCCGTCTCGCACTCTTCGCAGAGGATACTACGCATTTCGTACAGAGAGGTCGTGCGAGACTACAAGCCCGAGGCCGAGTGGAGATTGCACGGTCTCGCGAGCTCCAGCGAAGCCACTGATAGTTTGTTATCACCTATCGCTAGGAAGATAGTCCAATCCCATCCCGGTACCACGATCGAATTAGTAGGCATTCGCCAGGCCGCCAGGCTACTACGACGTCTGGTAGGCGCGAGTGATTGGTCCTTCCGCACGGATTTACCGAAACACCCCCAAAACGGCAACCCGTCGTCGTCGTGGTGCTGCCGGGGCCCCGCCGTTAGCCGCGAGAGATCGCGAGAAGGGAGCTTGGGGAGATCGGCGGGAGGATCGGCCTGTTCGTACGCGACCAGCACCGGCTCCTGGTACGCCGCTTGCTGGCGGCCCAGTGAGATGGAAGAGAAGTCCTCTGCCCGATTCTCCGAATATCTGTTCGCCAAGATGGGCGGGCAGGACGTCTCGGCCTCTCAGGGTCCCCGCAAGGTGACCGCCGACACCAGAAAGTGGATGCGAGAGAACCTGCTGCTCCTGGTCACCCTATCCGGCGTATTCTTCGGCATAACTCTCGGTGAGCGACGCGGAAATACTTGTCTCTTCCTTGTTGAAGTACTAATCCGGTAAAACACTCTCATGCATGAGCATGAATATTATATAGAATTATATAAAAATATACATCAAATGTGTCCATATATTTTTACATTGTATGTTTCCATATTAATTCTACACAGTTCTGTGTGCTTTTATAGATTCATACACGCTTTTATATGAAGAATCTTTTTACAGGGAAAAATTGTTCATTTATAATTATATATCATTTTGTACCTACACATTTTTCGCAATTTTTAAAAAACCTTTTATATAAAAGCATGTATACATTTATAAAAGTATATACAGAACTTGTGGAATTGATATAGAAATACACAATGTAAAAATACGTATGAATATATTTCATGTACCCTTTCATATAATTCTATATATTTGTTCGTGTGCATGCATGAAAAATTGTTTACCGGAAGCACGATTGGAAATTGGAGCATTTGGGGATTTCTTCTTCGATTCGAAACGTTTCTTTTTTTTCCTTTTGAAGAAGCGTCACTTTTCGCTGTATTTAAGAAAGAACAAAGCACCTTGGGACAAATAACCGCTTGATAATAATTTCGAATTGCATCGTACAGTCATTTACTGTTTGCGTGCTGACATTGAAAGACACAAGGAATCAAGCAGACGTTAAATGGAAACTAATAACTAGCGCGATAGAAAGTATTTATATCTCACGAACCATCAGTCGCGTTTTCAATGTTTCGTCTCTTTACGCGTCGGCCATAAATTATGACCGCCATTCGATAGTTATCGTACATATAATCTTTTTAGCAGCTCTGTATGGAGCTCGTTTCATATTATCTAGATTTCAATCTAACTCAACGCAACGGCAATTTTTTTTCAGTCGGCATTTCTTCCTTTGTCACATCAACGACTGATTGCTCTTTCTTAATGTCGCTTCTTACGCTCCAAGTTCTTGTGTGGACGATAAATTCGTGCGATTGTTGGGGAACCAAAAAATTAAATTAATCATTTTTACAAACATATGCTAGATTTTTATTCCGTAATGAAAGTTGTATGCGCGCACACACACACACTCACACACCCGCACAATCGTAATGAATGCCGTGTCATGTCAACCGTTTGTGGAAATCGTACGTGAGCGGTGGCATAATACGTTTCATGCTTATAATACGAGTGAGCATAGATCGATTTTACACGTATACCACGAACGACCCAGTTCGAAATTATCATTCCGATTACGTAAAAATAAGCAACACCGTTTATCTCGTTAAAAGGTGTTACTCATCGACGTAGGGTTTCCCTTAAAAATTTCATTACGTCGGTTTGATCTCTCTTGAAGCCAATTTAATAACATTTCCATGATTATAACGTGCTGTGTAATGTATAAATATTATATCGCGAATATGTCGGTCGATTCACCCGCGAATGTTAATAAATGTTGAAACATATTTAATTAAGTGAGAATCGATTTTATTATTTTACGCTATACACGTCAGAGAAATGGAAATAATTTCATTTAACTGAAGTGTAACACGAAAAACGTTTTATTACATTATCGAATTACTTGGTAAATCTGTACGTTTGACGTGGGCACATAAGAATAAACATTTCGCAGTTAACGAAAATATTAATAAAACAATTAATATGCGAGCTGCACAAAATTCCATTTTCCAGCAGCTTGATTCGGTACCCGATGGGCGAACGCACGGGGCGTCCATAGACGCTCTGCTATAAGTAGAAACGTTGATGGCAATGTAATAATTTATACGACGCCGCTCGATAGATCAGCCTAAATCAAAGCTTTCATTCATATCCCCTTCCGACACAGATGAAAGATTCAAGGTTACACACCAGTCTCTACTCTTCCTTTTGCTCTTTTATTTTTTTACAAATGTTGACGGAATACTCCTCGCACGATCTCTTGCAAAATAAATGATTCGCTTGAAAAAGATATACTTTACGCGTTATACCCTTCACCGGGACATAGATAGCTTATGCAACTAATCTTACATCATCCGGTGGAAAAGAAATTACTCAAACCTTCACCTTTTCATCAACTGCGACGCCCTTTCTTCGCAATCGAATAATAAGCCAATTTATCGCATTTAAATATAACTCAAGGCCAAGCATCCAAGTAGAAATCCCCAAGTGTTTTATTGCGAGAGAAAATGAGAAAGTAAAGTTCCCGTGGCGGAGAATCGCGAGTCAATCTGGTAATATCTCCTCGCAGGATTTGGCTTACGACCTCTGGACCTTGGGGACGATGCGGTGATGTTAATCAGTTATCCGGGAGAGCTCTTCATGAGATTGCTAAAGCTAATGATTTTACCTCTGGTAATCGCTAGCCTCATATCAGGTAAGCTCCCTCCCCCCCTCTCTTTCTCTCAGTCACTCACTCACTCTCGCTCACCCTGAATTAAAGCGTACAAATGTATCTTAATCATATTTTTTTTACGTATATCAGGTTCAGCGAGCTTAAACGCCAGGATGAACGGAATGATCGCCGTTCGGACTTTAGTGTACTTCATATTGACATCCTTGCTCAACGCTGTGCTCGGCGTAGCCCTAGTCCTCGTTATTCATCCTGGTAATCCCGGCATCAGGGAATCGATCGGTCCTTCGCATCACGCGAGAGCCGTTAACATATTAGACAGCCTGCTCGACCTGGGAAGGTAAATTATGTCTGCGATATCTCTCATCGCCCGTTATCGATTCTGTCAGTATCAATAATGTACATAGACTCACTTGGAAGTTTTCCTATTGAAAACGGAGGTAAATCGGGTGCGAAGGTCAGCGCGTACGAAACGGCGAGAAAATAATGTTAATCAATTCCGATTTGTTTCCTTTCGAATTTGCGCACGAGCGTGTCGCTGCACGAATTGTCGACTATATTTTCGCAGCTTTCGAGCCGCCAGCAAAAATAGGTCAAGCGCTTCCGCTGCGGTTCTACCAGTGCGAAAACTTTGAGAAATGCGCGCACAATGATAACGCGACATTGAAATAATATCGATCCGCGATACTCCTCTCTTACCGTCCCGTCGCTGAATCATTGTGGTAACATAGTTATCTAAGTCGGATTAAGGTCGTGGCATTTCACGATTCGTAAACTCCGCTAAACGAAATTCATCGTGATCGTAGATACTGTCCGTCGGGACGAAAATAGTTCATCGATCGTGCGTATTTTATTCACGCGAGGCGGGCGCTCAAAAACTCCACTTAAAAATCGCGCGACGCCCAAGCACGATCCTCCAACATTGTATTAAAATCGAGATATCGCGGCTCGATTATCGGAAACCATTTAACAATTGTTCGCTTCAGCGGGGCAACGTAAGATCGTTTTTATTGAAAAGTCACCAGAGCTTGCGCCGCGAGACTTAATCAATGTGTAAGGACTATGAATAAAACGAAGGACGCGGGAAAAGCGTTATTTTTAAAATATGCAGCCCTGTCTCGTAGAATGCACGAAGATATTGTCTACTTAATGTGTTGAGCAATATTTGAAATACGTACGATTTTGCGATTGATATTTCCGCAGGAACATGTTTCCGGACAATTTGTTCCAAGCAGCCTTCCAGCAGGTGAGGATATGCCCTTGCGAGGATTCTTACGGTAATATCGAAATGAAATTGGTGTTAAACAAGGGCGTTGTTACAGGCGCACACGGTGTACGTCCCAAAAAAGCAACCCTTCCAGAACGTGACCGACCAGCTACCAACAGCAGTTCTGGGAGACGAGGAACTGATAAGAGTGGTGCAGTATAGAAGCGGCACGAACACACTGGGTATAGTTTTCTTCTGCCTAGTCTTCGGTACGTTTCTGGGAACACTCGGTGAGAAAGGTCAAGTCGTCATAGACTTCTTCAAGGCTGTGTTCGAGGTCATCATGCGAATGGTCTCGACCGTCATGTGGTGAGCGTGCAAATCGGAAGCGAACACCTTCGTGGCTTCACGTCGCCTCGTAGCACAGCGGAGTGAAAATGTCACGCTTTCAGGATGACACCGATCGGCATCACCTCCGTAATAGCGGGCAAAATACTCGGCGTGGATGACCTGGTACTGGTGATGTCGCAACTGGCGTGGTTCATCGTCACGATCGCGATCGGTGTCTTTTTCTATCAGCTGGTGATCATGCAGCTGATATATGCGGCCTTCGTTAGAAAGAACCCCTTTAAATTCTACGCCGGCCTGGCCCAGGGTACCCTCACCGCCTTCGCCATGGCATCAACGTGAGTCGTCGATCTTCGAACCCGAGCCCGACCTTGAGAGAATCCATTTCGCCTGCCTCACAGGGCCTCGGTCGACGTTGTGATCGTACTTTCTGACCTGCGTAACCTCCGTCCCTCCATCGTTCATCTCCCGCAGACATTCCATCTCTACCTCCTCCCTCTCATTCTTTTGTTTCTTGTCACGCGGATCTTTCTATGCTTACGCGAAATGGAGCTGGTCTGTCGCGCGATTGATAGTGCAAGTAGTTGATTTCAAAACATTTTGACGCCGTAAAGCGAAACAGACAATGAGTGATACGTGGCGATGAAAGACGTATATTGATCGAATCGATTGATGGGAGACAATATGTTTCAGCCAGCTGTGTGGAGGCTTTGCGAGGCCACAATCCCGATGTCCCTTTCCAAATCCATTCAAGCCAGCTTTACATAACTTTCGGCAAAATTGCTTCGTACAATCCTCTTGTTCAGTTTTCGATAGAAACAAAAACGTTGTGGAAGAGCTGGTCAACTCCCGAATGATCCCGTTAGTCTTTCCTCCATATATGACAATCTCTTTTAATGTTTGCTTGCGAGGAGAGCTCGCCATGCCACATGAGAAAGAGAAAAAGAGGGAAAGAGGTATGCAGTTCCGAATAGCACTTAGAATGCTGATACCGCCGGTTCCCGACCACCAAGCCATACGAACTTCCGAAAGCTCGTAGCCAGATTGTTACGGTGACGCAAACGGAATTTCGTCGTCGCGCGAAACGTAAACGCAGAGATGAGAAATTACGGGATGGCTTTCAAGATACACGGCTGCGTGTTGTCGCGAAAAAGTGAAACTATATCGACGTCCGATATTGCTCTCAAACCGGCGATCTGCTGACTCCGTGTTACTTGGACTGATTCGCGGCGTGGAAGTCTTCTAAGGATCCCCCTAATCGGTATCTTCGAGCTCTTCCCTCGCGATGGCGAGGAAGGGGAAGAGGAAACCGAGCCAAAGGAGACTTCCACGCCAAACCATACGATTAATCTTAAGTACGTTGTTTTTTAACAATGAACTGGCGGAACTGAAAAAATATTGGTTGCTTGTGCCGAGCTCGCTCTTGCAGGTACGACGAGGATGTCGATGACCGGCTGTACTCCTGAACGACGTGCGATTATTTGTCTCTCTTGAATAATTCATTTTTGAGAGTCACGCAAAGCAACGATCATTTTTTCAGTTCGCACTTACGAATCGAATTCAGTTCGCACCTCTGAGATCCTTCCTCTCTTTCTTTCATCCGCAGTCCAACGTACGTCTAATACATACGAAATAAATTATTCCCGTACCGTCCCAATTACTCTTATTTTTCGATCACTGCACCCTCCCTTCCCTCGTCGCCTTTCCCACCCCTGGTATTATTGTTTTTAGCGGTGCTCAGTATTGTTTATGATCCAGCTAGGTCTTATACAGTTGTATCTAACTCAATCTGTTTTCTCTGTGGATTAACTGTTTCCAGAAGAGAGCGTACAACTGTGCGTACACTGTGACTGACTGAGAAACTGTTCTCAGTGTATCTGAACAGAGACTGTATGAATATCATGATGATGTATTAGAACACGCACTGCACGCGGCCTTTTGCAGGTGGTTGACTTTAAGAGACCGAGGGTAGCGCTTGGTAAGTAATTGATGGCCGCAACATGAAGGTACATACGATTGTCTGTTATAGGATCCGTGGCGGATGACGCGGCCTAGCGGATGTCCTGGGCGGATTGTGATTTAAGCTAATCCCGGTTCATTTTCAGATTATTCTCACGGTCATTCTGGCAGTTGTTCTGGCACTCTTTCTACTATCCGCAGTTAATAATGCGCCGATGTTAATTCCGAGTATTTTTCCTTATTTCATATACCATTCTTTCCGCTGATTCCCTACATTCGTTCTATTTCAACTCAAGCCTTGGTCGGTTACGTCTCTGAGAAACTATTGATAAATAAACCGCCGCCATATATCTGCCCCGTAAGTTTACGCCAGAATGACCACCAGGACTGCAGCGACAGGCGATGCGGAGCGAGTCTTTCTATCATCAACGGAAGTCTGCTTTGCCCGATTTTTGCTAACGCAGCTTTGTACAGGGCTGCCGCACTCCCCGTGACTTTTCGTCTGATGACCGAGAAGCTCCGAGTCGACCCTAGAGTCACCAGGTTCGTCCTGCCGATCGGTTGCAATATCAACATGGACGGTACCGCGCTCTTCGTCGCCGTTGCCAGCATATTCATCGCCCAGATGAACGGTATCTTCCTGGGCTTTGGAGAGATCATCACCGTTATGTAAGTCTCCCTCGCCCTTCAATAAGCTGCCTCGCTACCGAATCAATTCCACGGAAATCATCTTATTCCATCCCATTTGGTCACATTTGTCTGTATTTATCGCTACTTTGCCTCACTTTTTATTGTCATCCTTCTTTTTTTTTGCCAAGTTTGACGTCCACCGCTGCTTCCGTCTCGTCGGCCTCTGTACCAAGCGCTGCGCTCGTGCTGCTGTTGGTTGTCCTAAGTGCCATTGATGCTCCCGTCAATGACGTTTCTCTTTTATTCGCGATCGACTGGTTCGTGTGAGTGTCAAATAAAATATTCTCTTGCTCATGACACATCTATGATACGTACACGATGCTACGATATATGTTCCAAGATTAAGTATCGCGTCACGCTAATCTCATTTTTGAGAACTATAAGAACAGAAATATCATACGCGTATTATAAATGATTCACTCTTTACAATCGACGAAACGTTTCGCAATAAACAATGCTGCAATAACAATATTGGCGGTATTCGTAGCCACACATCTTCTATTTAAGATCGTCTTTAGATACCCCGTAGCCATTGAAATGGTCCATACAGTATCTTGAAATAAATTCAAGACAGTCTTGAATACAAGATCAGTGGGTCAATCCTGTATCTTACACTATAGTGAAAGTGCTAAAAGTACTTTCAGCGTTTTCACTATATTGTAAGATACAGAATTGACCATCTGACTATGAATACCGGCCTGTGATTATACGTATATGCAATCGTTATATGCTATTATTATATAAACATAATGAAAGAATGTAAGTTTCTTGTTATACAATTGTTAACGCGAATATTTTATCGATTAGAGATCGGATAAGGACTACCAATAACATGCTAGGAGATTGTTACGCCGCCGCAGTCGTCGAGCAGCTGTCGAAAAAGGAACTGATGGCACTGGACGCAGCAGCCTATCAAGTAAAATATATAATCTATGTTAATCACTGTGTAATTACATAATTGAAATGAGAAGAAATGTCTTCAACGTTCACTCGACAATTCGTCCTATTTGTTTCTAAGGTGTAAAACGACTTTTTTTGCACGTTGACGTACGTAACGGACAATTTAATTCCAGTCGGAGACTGTGCTACCGACCACCATCGCCAATGGATGTCTTACCGCTAACAGGGTACCTGATCCTGATACCGTCGTCGTCGAGATGCAAGACGACACGCGGATAACGGGGATCGCCAAGTAAACACGCTTGTTGGTAGGGCTAGGCTATCACTTTGTACGGTCATTTTAACATCATGTCGATTCATCAATTACCATCGCTTTGCGAATTGCTGATTTATCTGCCGATTAGCAAGCGGGGACTTGACGGGAAAAAATGAAGATCATCAAAGCCAGCTGAGCGCCGTAAGGTTCATACGCATTTCGCACGCATTACAATCATTACGTCAATCTCCCTCATCGTAAAAGTAACATCAAGCAAATGGCATTTGCGCATTTTTTCCGCGTCAAGTCTTCAAGTTGAACAGCGAGAGTGTCCTACAGACCGTTCCTCCTCTCTTGCAGATTCGGAATATTGCACATGTCGAGAAGTGTGACGGAAGAGACCGTTTGACTAACGGTCAGCCCCGCGAAATAATTTATCGCCGCAGAATCTTACAAGTAAATCGACTCTGCCATCTGTTTTGCATTATTCAACGAGGATCAAAAGACGTACTCCGCGCCGAAGGCGCGTTTAGTTCCTCTATTTGTTTTGGTTTTACAAATAATCCTCGAGGTTCATAAAGATCCTCCGCAAGAAGTTCCACACCAGCAGGACGGCAGCTCTTGCGGGAAAACGCGATCGCCCATGAAGACACGAAGATATTCAACAGTCAATAAGGACGGAGCACGTGTTACATGTGACGCAGGCACAGCAATAAAAAATTGAACAGACGATCGAGGCTTCCAAAGACTCGAGGATCGCGCATTTTGTCGCTCGATGTTGCACAGGCGAAAAGTCGTTCAACGATCCCCGCAATAATTACGCTCGATGCTGCATGGGCAAAAGGTCGGGATATACAAGTCTTTCAATGACCCCCAGGGGGAATCAGGCTGAATTAGTAAAGACGTTAATCCGATTGACCGACTCACATTCGAACAAATGATGGCTGACGATCGTACATTACAGACTCGGCACTAGCAAACCCCGGAGATGACCGACACGATCGGCGTCTCCGTCAGGAATCGGTTCTTCACGATCGGTCGTACAATCAGCGTCGAATGTGGTGCCTTATTTCGATGCGCCAACCAAGGGCGCGATGAAAGTAAAATCTCGCCTGGGTTGTTGTTTTCCTTTCTCCAGTTATATCGTTCGTCGCGCGAAAGTGTAGACGCCAATTCCAACACCTGACGCTTCTCGATGTGACTTAGAACGAACATCCTAGCTCCGAATCCGGGGATTGAGCACGACTGTCAATCAATGACGCGACGAATACATAGCTTTCTATCGGGAATAAAGAAATTTTTTACGGTGTTCTGGGGCGGGAGCTTGATGTGATAACTGTGTTAGGTAGCTATGTGCATACTACACATATCTAGGATAAAACAAATACGTTTTAATTGCTCTACAATGTTATTATTAGAATACAGTTTAGGCTACATTTTAAAGACCGCTTCGCGTGTCGCGTGTCGATTACGTCACTGATCACAATACGAATCAAGGGGGAGGGGAGGGGGACGGGAAGAAAGTGAGAAAATTAGACGGCAACAATATACGTATATCCGGCGGAGATCAATACAAACTCCACGCTGAAGATGCAGCAAAGAAGACTTACAAGCGGGTAGAACTTTAAATAGATTTTAAAAGTCATATCGATTTAACTATCGGACCATTAATTGACGGAAACTGGTGTATAGAACCTTCCTATGTGTTCTGCTTTTGAAAGACGAGTGTTTTGCGAGAGAGTGCTTGTCGAGACAGAAGTGGAAGCTCTGGACGTGTATTTCGTTCAAAATCGGAGATAACGCTTTATACCATTTCGGGGCTGTCCCAGGTTTTCCAAAAAGAAAAAATTCTCTTTCACATGGGAACAATCGATATTTGAAACTTTCAATAACGTTGATTTTTATCAATTACAATTGCGTCCAAGATTCTATCTCGTTGCACTCTTCTTCGATTAGTGCTCCCTGCCGTAGAGTAACATACCTTCCAATATGATGTTGTCCAGACCGTAGCTTAGAATAAACAAGTTCGTGTGTTTCAACCGTACGACGGAAGATCATAGTAACTCTTCTATGAATGACAAAGGGAACGGGACATTTAAATAGCGCAGCTCGTTGTCGGGCACCAACAAGACTGGATATACCATATGATAATACCATTTTGCTAGACGTAATAATGGGCAAACGATTCCTACATGGTTTCGCTAATACCTAGGCACTAGATAGGTAGGTCGATACGTGTTTCATCGTAGAGACTGTTTAAATGTACAAACTGTTCGAGTACATAGTATTATTACTTTTAGCAATCGTTAATGTTTGTTGCGTATAAATTGCAACGCGTTTATTTCGATTTCCTTTGGAGATTAATTTCTTCGGAAGAAATAATATGGTTTCGTGCACGTACGTTTACGAGAGGATCAATCTTTATTATCAAAGATGAGCGAACCAAATTCGGATTCTTTTAATTTGAATATTCAGAGCAAGCATTCCGTAAAGATACTTAGAGATTAACACCTGTAAATGGTATTTGTATTTTGCCATAAAACATCGAAATGGTACCAAAATGAATTACAAAAAAAAATTAGAAAGAGATTATAAAATAGACTAGAACTTGTATAATAATAGAAAAGCTTGCTAATTATAAATAATTAATCAATTATTTCTTCAACTTTAATCACGCGTTAATTTGGTTAATTACGACTTTTTCATTTTGTTTGAAATATCTTTCAAGGTGATATTTCGGGTGCTCCTGTTACTCGGCGCGTTTTATGCTCAAGCATTAAAAAGAGTGTGGTGGATACTACGTAGTAGCTACGGGAGTAAAACGAGCGGAGGAAACATGGAATAAACTTATCAAAATAATCCGAAGAATACGTGTATACTTGTAAGGCTCAACGTGTTGTATAACAAAAAGCGAATTTATACGTGGAAACACCTGGTCTTCTTCATTAGCAATCCTTGTCGTTTCTCCCCTTTCCTATTCGATAATACATTGAAAGAATCAAAAACATGCAATTAAATTACTTATTCGATGTTACAATGTGGCAGAAAAATAACAATATCCTAAAAAATTCATTTATTTAAGGCCTATGTCGCAGTGAGGCCCTTGGAAGAGTCTTTGTACAGAGAACAATTTATACAAAATATGATATATATTTGTATATATATATACAAAATATATATATATTTAGTGCGTATGCATATGTATCGGGCTGAGATTCCATCCCCCGTTACATCGAGATCGCGCTCAGGGGACAGGGACGAAATAACAATTAAATCAACGAACTTTATATAGGGGCGCTTTTAGAGATGCGCTGTCACGAAATCCAGTGTCTTGATCAGTTCGCTCGTGGCAGCGCGTTTTCGTTTTCAATTCGGGTGATGTCGCCATGTTCGTCGTAGTATCGACAATTCGGTAATTATAAAATTAGATTACTGTACACATTCACGCGGAGTTGAACTCGATGAACACGGCGCGATCATCCGGCTTATATAGAGACAGTCTATCTTTTTGATTATGACAACGTCGTTGTTTATTTTCATAGATTATTATTTACAATGCTACTTAATGACTAAACGCCGGCGCGGCCGCTGGCGGATATTTACAATATTCCGATGAGAAAGTACTTGCTTTCAGTCAGCTATCGATCGGAACGAAGCATGCGTCCGTATAGCAAATACGGAATTGTCAAGGCGCAATCGCCGCTTTCCCGCTTCTCTCTCTCTCTCTCTCTCGCTCGCTCACAGTTCACTCGTACCGTTCCTCACGATAAACCAAAATTATTTATAAAGTTCACATTTCGTTAACATTTAATTAATTAGTTAATAATTAACAATCAATCGCGGGAAGGTAGCGCTTGCGCGTGACAGGGAGAACAATTCGGCCATGATTTTCGATGGCCGAACAAATTGAAATTACTAAATTAAAATCACTTGTTAATACCATACCCGCGGATCACGTTGTTCACACAGTTCGAGAGAGCAATATACATATATTTCATTGATAAAATCGCATCCAACAACGCATATTAACAGAAATATTATTCGCATTATACGAGGCATTGCATTGTCTTATCGCTTTCCCGGCGAGTCATCACTGGATTAACATTAAAACTTGTACACAAAATACGCCGGATTACTCGGGATATCCTCAAATCCTCAGTTCGCCATCGGCTACAGGAATCCCTCGGTTGGCACTTTGACTGGATCTCTGGGTGGCTGGTGGCACGAGCGGGCTGATGCTGGGACTTCTTGTGGCTAAGGGTGATAATGAGGGTGAGAAACTTGGACTCAGCGCAGCGGAGGGAAAGGTGGAGGCGTCATGACTGATCGGCGACCTCGGTAGAATCCCTCTCGCTAGCGCCGGCGCTGCCAACGACCTTGGGGCGACGGACGTGAGCAAGGGCGGCGGTGGTGCTTTATGTACAGACTTGGTCTTGCCGCTACTACCAGAATTTCCACTCTGAACGCTGGCCGCGTCGTCCTTTAGCCTAGCAATTTCGCTAAATACATGAGCCAGCGGTTGATACTGGGGTCCCCAGTCTAACAGGTAGTCCCAATTGTACGAGCCAGTGAGCTCCTCCTCGCTGTACACGATGGAGCTCAGGGAACCGTTCATCGATGGTCCACCTGGTACTTCTAAGCCAGAAGTGGCTCGTCCGGTTTCCCCGATCTTACCGTAGATCAGCGTCGCTATGTCCGCCTCTGTGCTCGCCTCATCCTCAAACAGATGCAAACTGTCCAGGGGCAGAGCTTCGGGAGGTCTCCGTGGCGTGCCGGCTGGAGGATCCACGATGCCCAATCTAGCTAAATATTCCTGAGTATTGTGAACCGAGAGATCGCTCGCGGAATCGCCAGTCTGCTGGCCCTCGTTAATCATTCTGATCTCCTCGTCGTCTCCGTCGTCCTCGGCGGAGCCCCTGCCAGAAGAGCCCGACTGATCGCTCCCGGAAAGCTCAGATGTAGCTTGCTGTTGCCCGGATTGACTGGACGTTCCGTAAGGAGGTATCTCGTCGTACTTTGGCGGGGCAAACTGGCAGGATGCGCCGCCGCCCGCTCCCCCGGCACTCGCGGAACTGCCGTTTCCGCTCGCTCCGACTCCGGTCATGCTTCTGATCGGGATCGTATCGAACGCGCTCGGGTCCACGTAGCTGTTTGACGCGGTAGCGTTGCTCTCGCCGTTCAGACCCGGTTTCGTGCCGGGTTTTTTGTGACGACGATTACGAATGTGAAGGTAGAGGAAGATGGCACCAAACGCGAGAATAAGAAGGAGGAGAGCGATCAACAGACCCAGGACCCAATCGGCCAGGCCGCCCGAGGTGGCCACGGCCATGTTCGAACCGATGTCCGCCGGCGTCGCCAGAGCGGTAGCTCCTCTAGCTCCGTTCAGCTCGTTGTCGTCCATCAGCGTGATTTCTACTACCGTCATGTTAGACAGAGAACCCTGCCTGCCTGAACTCGCGCTGATTACTAATCTGGACGACTCGTCCATATCAATGTGCATTAGTTTCTGCTTCACGATCAACGCACCGGTCGTGCGATTCAGTTTAAAATAAGGATGCTGGGACGTTAACTGATACACGACCCGGCCATCCGGCCCCTTGTCGCGATCGGTCGCCGTCACGTGACCAATTACTGCGCCCGGCAACATCTGAGCACTGCTCCTTATTCTGAATCGGTACATCCTTTCGGTGAACTGCGGAAAGAATTCGTCTCTCGAGTCAATCTCCACTCTGACACGCACCGCCGCGGCACGTTCGCCCGCATCCGTGGCGCGCAATGTAAAAGCGTACCGATTCCGTTGCTCGTAGTCAAATACGGCGCGAGTGATAACGGTGCCCGTCGCGTCAACCGCAAACAGCTTCCAGCTGTCGTCAATGTCGGAGAATCCGCTGGCAGCGGCGGAAACAATGGAGTAATTCAACGACCCGAAGATGCCGCGATCCAGATCCGAGGCGCGCGCAGAGAAGACGGTCGTGCCGATCGGCTCGTTCTCACCGACGAACTCGAGATACTCGGAAACCGGGAACTTGGGCGAGTTGTCGTTGACGTCTTCCAGACGAACGCGAAGTTTGGCGAGCGCGCAAAGAGGCGAGACTGGATCGCTGTCGCAGACCATCACCACGAGATTGTAGACCTCGCGCTCGAGGTCGCAGTCGAGCGTGGAGTTCACTAAGACCGCGCCGGTTGTCCTTTCGACGCGGAAGAGACCGCCGTCGTTTCCTGAAGTGATGTCGTACACCAACGTGGCCGCCGCGCTACTAGCCAGGTCGTCGTCCTTGGCGTGCAGGATAGCAACGGTCGTTCCGTGCGGGGCGTCTTCCTTGATGGATACTTGATAGAGCTCTTCGAGAAAGTGCGGATAATTATCGTTGACATCCTCCACGATGATCTTTACTATTACCGGCTCGTCTCCCACCAGCGAGCCTATCGTCGTGTTTTCGATCTCGCTGCCCAACTGCAGTACATACCTGGAAAATCGAAGACTCTTGAAGTCGTTTCTATATATTTTGTAAAATAAAGCAAGTAGAGAGGAACGCTAAGAGACAATAACTGAAACAAAACTCAACGCAATAAATGACGTTCCGAACGCTTACCGGTCTCGCGTCTCGCGATCGAGCGTTTTCGAGAGGACCAGCCGATCTCTGGCTATCTCGAATGTCCTATCATCGCCCGCAACGATGCCGCCGCCCAGCAGCTCCACGTCGGAGAGCTTCATCAGCGTCGTACCCCTCGGCAAATTTTCCTTCACCATGATCTTGTACTCTCGCCCAGGTAGGGTGCTCTTCAGATTGCTAAGCCGCACGACAACCAAGCACATCGACGACGCCGCGGGTTTGCCGTGGTCCTCCGCGACGATCGCCAGATCCATCTCCTTCGGTATCGGTCTGGGTATCACCGTACGATTAACAGTCAGAACGCCGGTCACGGGATCCACTGAAAATCCCTTCACGGGATGCAGCAGATGATATCGCACTCGACTGTTCTCCTCCGAAAGGTCGTCGTCCGTGGCGTTTACCGTCAGAATTTCCTGCTTGCCTTGCCCTTCTGGAATGAGAAGAAAAAAAAAGTCGACATGTTACGCGGCGTGTAATTACATTAACATAAATTCGTAGCGCGTCTTGTTTTTATACTCCTGGCGCGAGTAAAGAGAGAGATATTTGTAGATGCGAAATTATAAAGAGAGCTCATATAACGTCATATCACACGAGACGGCATTCATTAGTGAGCGGCAGGGACTCGAGAAGCACTCTCCGCAAGATCGATTATCGAGTCGTACATTGTACGAGGGACCACTCGACAGGGACGCGGGAGAAAGATCGAGAGATCAGCGGGCCTGAGCTCAAATACTTTCCGTGTCTTCTTGTTGCGGATGCGTCCACGACCATCGGCCGGCCGGCACCGACATTACGAACACCTTTTTTCGGACGGCGAGCGAGGAGGATAAGCCTTCTTGACATCAGGCCCGGACGGAAGTATGAAATAATAACCAGTTATATATAAATCGCGCCGCGCCGGTGCCGTGGGTCTCCGCAGGCTCTCTCGATGGCGCGTTGCGCATACAAAGATCATTTCGATGCGCTTCAAATCGCCGGATAACTCGGCATTAATGCGCCAAGCCGCGGCCCAAAGTGCACGAGGCGGGGGGAGATGTAGACCGATGCGTGGAAGAGGGTTCGAAATAAACCTGGAGGATACGATCCTCCTCGGGGACCTCGCGCCGCGGTCCGGAGGGGCAAAAAAGAAAGAGTACGGTCGGGCGAAGGAAAGAACTGTAATTATCACGCGTATGACCGCGGTGCACGCACACACTTGCGCCACGACATCTTCTCATTGAGATCAATTCGTGTTTCCAGCATCCACCTCTCTTATTGCTTTTCATCCTATTCTATCCAGACTATCTCGGCCTTTCTCGATTGAGAAATGATCTTTGACCATCGCTGCTCGTCCCCCGGCTTCGTTAACGCGCCGCGAGGCAATTTGAAAGTTTACATTGTACAGAAAGGTAGATTGTATCTGCAGGCTCTAATAGCTCCTGAGTATCTAATTAAAATTCGCGCGATTTGGAGAAAACGCGAGAAGTGAGCGAGGCCGATCTATCTCGATGTTATCGTCCTCACGAACATCTATAATAGTCCCATTAACGGGGCAGGCGCTTCATTAACTCTCGCCGAAATCTCCTCCACTCCGGACGGAGAGTCCGCAACCTTCCGCAGCCCGTCTCGTTGTTTCTCGCCCGTCCCTCCCGTGAGGAACGGCACACAGCTTTTCGCGAACATGCGAGACGAAGCGGAGCGGAGGATGCAAATTCGCTTTCTCATGGGAGCCCTCCCGCCCGAGCCCTTTCCACATCCACCGCCTGCCAATCCACCCTCCCAGCCCTTACCTCCCCGCTGCCCACCCAAATGCACCATTAGGCGCGGGCCTATGTATTTTTAATAAGTTTCGAGAGTCCTCTCGTAGCCGGCGATCCCGGGCCGGCGCGGCGGTTGCAGTGAAGGCGGCTTTTCGGCTGCCTCGCAAACGGTGTCCTCGCGTTTATTTATGTGCGAGGAGCTCGCAATCCACCTCAGCTCTCCTTCCACCCTCCCTCCCTCCGCCCGTCCCATGTCCTCGCCATTCCTCGCTTCCCTTCGCCCTTCGTTCTCCACCCTGTCCCGCCGATCTCGCATTCTCGCTTTCTCTTTATACATCTCCTTCCCTTTCTCTTTCGCTATATCTTTTTCTCTCCCACATTCGACCAGCTAACTTTTCATCGGTCTTCGTTTACTCATCTTCCTCTTCTTCGTCTTCCTCTCCGCCTCCCAGCTCCGCGCCGTTCTTTCTCGCGCGCTTTATCTCGGCGCGGTGTCAATTCGAGTTTGGAACACGGGCAACAGGACAACGCGTGTCTACTAAAAACCAGTTTTTAAACGCGCGTTTATTTCGCACCGAGGGGCCCGCCTGTATCTCCCCGTCGCCTCCCTCTCCTCCCCCGTCGCTTCATCTCTTTGTGCCACTGCTGCTTCGATTTTTTTCGACGGGACGCCGACACCGAGATGCATCGTCTAGCGGGGTGACAGAACTCGCGCGACCAATGACAACTTTACTGTGCGAAACGATAATGAATCCCGACTGATGGTACCGTAATCTCGACGTGGACTCCCCCCGCGCGTGTAAGGTGCAAAAACAATACGGCGAGACAATGCAGCGTCGGATGGACCACCCGCGCTCCAAACGAGAGATTTGTCCAAGCTGTCGAGACTCTCGTAGCGCGACTGGCTCGTTAACGGGGAGACTTGAATTCTTCGATGCGCGATCCTCGCGGAGAGTCGCGGGAGACTTCGACGCGGCAGCGAAACGTATCCGCGAAAAATCTCGTAACTCGCGGCGCGGCGACGTGGCCCGCTCGTCCCGATTCCATCCCACGCTACCGCTTCACGGAACAACCGATGCAATCTCGATGGCGATCGTTCCTCAATAAATCAAAGAATTATGCTCGCTGGAGCGTATGCCACGCGATAACCGACGCGACGGTCATCGTCGATCGCGTCCGATCATCGTCAGAGTTTCGATCGTGGTGGATTCGGACGATCCGCTACCTGCCTCGCTCTCGTCTCTCGCTCGCCTCGCGCTCTCGTCCCGCGGGAGAAAAGGGCACCGGTGTGCCCTTCCTCGATACGTACCCGAAAGGATGGCCACGTAGACAGGCTGCTCGAATCGCGGCGCGTTGTCGTTGAGATCGGTCACACGAACGATGAGATCGGTCGTCGCCTCGTGAATCCCGTCGCTGGCGATCACCTGAAGAGTGTACTCGGAACGCGTCTCGGCGTCCAGGTGCTTCCGCAGGACAACCTTGCCGCCGTAGCGGTCGATGCTAAAGGGTCCCGGGCTCGTCACGTTGCCGAATCGATACGTTAACGCCGGCGAACTGTCAACGTCGTTCGCCGTGATGGTCGTCAACACGGTTCCCATGGTGGTACCTGAAATTAAAAGCAATGCCTCTTCAACGTTGATTGACGGAACAGATGCGTCTGTGCCGTTTGTACAGCGATATTAAATAAACGAACGAAAATACATTTCTCTCGTTTACTGTCGATGAACAGCGCATTTGCGGTCCTCGCGGAAAAACGCACGCGACGATCTCATTGCTGCAAGTAGATCGGATAATGGCGAGTACTATTCTGGCATCTGATAGCGACGGAATTAGTAAAATGCGCCTGGCGAAAACGAAGAAGACTGTCGGGGACCTCGAGCGGAATGAGGAGCTTTATCGCTTCGCATTGTGGACCGCGCGGTCGCTACCGACAGATTGTATCCTTATGCATAAAGGTGCCTTTGACTTCGTCCTTTTGTCCCCTCATCGCGAAGCCACTTTGTCACCGTGAAACGATTGTGAGCGATACATATAATAACGCGTGGATCTCATGGGCGCGTACGCGCTCCTCTCTTCCGCGAAGTTAAAGACACATCAAGGGGATCGGTGCTTAAAATGCATTGGATCCGTACTATCGAATCGTTTTATCTTGGCCGGTTGCCAAGAAGAAACGGTCGAAACGAATCCGTCCGAAGAAACGGATGAGTCTCTCATGCGCAGGGGAGAGGACGTCGGGCCGCGGCCACCATCAAGTAAATTACAATATCGTCCTGTCCAGACGTTGCGCGAGGAAATTGAAAACCGTAACGCGAGAACGGCTTGGCGGGCACAATGGGCGCGCGACATGCGTCCTGCATAGCGCAATCACCGCACGCGAAACGCGCTTATCGTCGCGACTGTGAATCTGATCGCAATTTGTCCCCATACATAAATGCCTTTCCCCGCAGATTCCCAACCGAGGTAGATTGGTACAATTTTTGTGCCATTATAAATTGGTAATTCTACTGCCAGCTAACGGTCAGTGAAAAAGTGAGATTGTTTTACGTGCGAAGATAATCACAGTGCGACTATTTCTTTTATATGATACATTTGCTAGTCTGGTTTGGTCTTAAGGGTTAACAGATTAGCCGATGCCACTTGTAAGATAGAAATATCCCGGTGTAAAGGACGTACAAAAACGGGAAACGTTCTTGCACGAATTTAGAAAGATGATTTATGAGGGGAAAGACGAATGTATTCCATAATATTCGATGATTCAGACGAGATTCTCCGTCTCGGTAAAGTACAATGTGCGGGTTAGGAGGAAGTATATCATCAGAAACCGGGCTTTTGATTTCACAACCGGGCCGGGTGATATACGTCGGGCGTAGCAACACCTGCGGCAGTAAAAGAATTATTCTGTACGATGTGTTCGAGAGAATAAGGGAGGGGGGAGAAAAAGAGAGAGAGAGAGAGAGAGAGAGAGAGAGAGAGAGAGAGAGAGAGAGAGAGA